GCTAAGGGACCTCTCATTCCTGCAACTCCTCATTAAACCCATTTAGTCGCTTCCACAGGCTGGAATTTCACTTCTTGACATGGACGAGTGATGCTTTGAGACATGCTAGATTCAAACCCCGGCTCCACAATTTCTTAGCGACGTGGTTTGGAGTAAACATTGCAACTTCGGCCTCACCTGTAAGTGGGAATGCTGTAATACCTACTCTATGATGTAGTTAGAAGACTTTGATAGGACTGCTTGTGTTATTTCTCTTAAAGTGCTTAGCACTAGACTCCATACAAAGCATATGATCAGCGAATGTAGTTCCCTCCAACCCAGCCCTTCCCTTCCTTCCTGAGGCGGTGTCCTGGCTGAGGGATGAGAGGCCTGGCCTGTGAAGACGGGGCAGGTAAGCAGTTGGGTGACTGGTCACTTCTGCTAAAGCTCTGGGTATCCATCCCTCTTACATCAGTGGGGCCGGTTTTATTTCCAGAGAACATAAACACAGTCAGGTCATTTTCTATTGCAATCTTAAAAACAGTTTTCCTTGACCATAACTAACCATAGCACTTTTACCATGTGGAAAATACTCAGCATTATCACTCTGAAGATGTTTCAAGTGAATGAATGGATACAAAATGAATGAATTACTGAATACAAATGTAAACTTTTCAAGACTAGGGCAAGGCCATTTTCACATCATAATCCCGCTGTTACCCTGGCATCCAGCCCTTCCATGAGATCGCTCTCCAAGCCTGGGGGTACTGTCCGCACCCCCCTCCTTACGGCCACATCCCAAACAGCTGTCCCTACCAGAAGCCAAGAGAAGATACCAGAAGCCAAGAGGAGATACCAGAAGCCAAGAGAAGATAGCAAAAGCCAACAGAAGAACAGAAAAGTAGCCCCCCACTGCGGACCAGCCATTCTGGAGCAAATAAAGTCATTAAGGAGATTTTTAACAATGTGTAACCTTTCAGCTTTACTCTGCTAACAGCAGGCAGCTTGCCTTGCATAGACAGGAGTCAGCATTGAAGTCACGTAAGCAGGATCTGACCTTCATTTTCAGTATACACAATATTAAATATTCATAATCCACATAACTACAGCCTAAAAAGTAGCGGAGTTTAAACATGAATCAAAGGAATAAATATATTCACAGGTGAGTCATCCTTTCCCAGAATGCCCCTGGAAAAGGGCAAATTCCCAGGGCCCTGAGCCGCTCTCTCTTCCAACTTCCTCTTGAAATTCTAGAAGCAGCAGGAACTGCTGCATTATGCAAGCCATGAAGCCTGCACTCACACTGACATCTTGGGGCTTTCTGTTCCCTTATCTATTAGCAAGAATCACTGTTCCTGTGTCAGAGGGAGGAAACTGACAGGGTTGGATCAGCCATGACGACATCATCACCCCGGTTTGGCTCGGTGGATAGAGCGTCAGCCTGCGGACTGAAAGGTCCCAGGTTCGATTCCGGTCAAGGGCATGTACCTGGGTTGCGGTCATATCCCCAGTGGGGGATGTACAGGAGGCAGCCGATCAATGATTCTCTCTCATCATTGATGTTTCTGTCTCTCTCTCCCTCTCCCTTCTTCTCTAAAAATCAATAAAAAAAATATTTTTAAAAAAAGAAATGGAGTTATTTTCTTTTGGACTCTGTCTTCTGTGGCTAACTGAGGGGTACCTTCTGGGGGTGGGATTGCTGTGTGTGGCAGGCTTAATGCATCTCTGTGTCTATTAAGGAATTAACACTGATGTCTATCTAAAGATTTGGTGAAACAGCCTCCTCTCCTTGGGGGGGGAGCATAATTTTAACACAATTTAAGATAATTCTCATTGGCTTTCAACTCCAGGAGTCGTGAGGACAGCCTGTCTTAGCTCACAGCAACCACTTGAAGCTGCCCATGCGATTCCTCTCTGGTGATCACCGGGAAAGGTAATACCCAAGGAAGGGCTTCTCAAAGCCTTAAGAGCAAAAGAACTGCTCAGGGATCACCTTGGCCTAGCAATGGAAAAGAAAAAAACGTGTAGTTGAGACTGTATCTGGAAATAACGTACCCACAGCCTCTTGACAGCCAAATAAGCAGCGAAAGGTTAAAAAGATCATGCCCCCTTCAACTCTGGCACTTTTCAGAAGTGCCGGCCTCCCCTGCTGCCACACAGAAGTAGAATAACCACCCAGCCCACCTGTCCTCTCGCACAACCTGGACTGGCCTGTCTTGACACTGAACCTGCAGAGCCTCACACCTTGAACTTGTGTTGTCAGTGTATTCCCCACCATCTGGGGGAGGCCAGCTCTGGTTAAAATTCACTGAAACAAGATATTTGACTGGCAGTGTCTGCCCAGTTAGGTTCATGCAAGGGAAGGCCTATGGATTGTCTTTTAAGTTACTTATTCATTTGAAGGGTATAAATACCAACTAAAAGTCATCTGAAGAATACTGTACACTTCTTTTTTCCAGGATAATGATTTCGTATAAATTCTAAGAGAAGTTTAAAGATTTCTTTCCAAGATGCCATTTCTTTCCAATGGCCAGCAAAACCACCAGAGGGTAAAACTTATGACAGTTTTGAATGAAAAAGATGGATATTTAGAATTTCCAGCCTGCTTTCTTACCTAGTTTCCATTTGCTTTTTATGTGTGGATAGAATCTCACTTTATCTTGTTTACTTTGCTTGATGATAGTTATTTTAATAGATTATTTTTTTATTCCTGAACCTTTAGACTTATCATAAAGGTTATCTTACAGAGTCTGTTTTAATTCCGCTCCTTACTTAACTGAGCATGCCTGCCTGCTGTCTCCAGAAAGATTGCAGACTCCTTGGTACTGACTATGCTGATCAGGTCACCCCTGGGACAGAACCTTGGGGTATGGTTCCAGCACCAAAGGAAAAAATGCAAATGAAAACCAGAAAAGGTGACATAAACATCAGGTCTTCCAATGTACAGAGGCCCTCTCTGCCAAACCACACAGTCTAGTGACAGAGAGGAAAGACAGAGTTTAGGATGTGGCCAGAACAGTCCCCAGGGAGAGTGAGGAGAGTCTTGGTTCTAGGATTGTTGGCACTTTGCTGGGAAAAGCTGAGAACAGAATGGAAGGTCCATTCTTGGCGTAGACTCTCTGCAGAACCAGAACCAGAGATGACCCCCAATGCCAGCTTCCCAGGGCGTAGCAGAACCAGAACAAAGTCCAAAGGGCCCTGTGGTAGTGCGGGGAGCCAAGGAGAGGGTCTTGCCTATGGTAGTCCACCAGGATCTAAGTACAAATGGTTGCCTCACAGTAGACGCTGTAAAAAAACACACAATTCAGACCCATCCAGCAAGAGCTTTTTATTTTAACAGAATACAGAGGAGCAAGAAGAGAGGCAAAGGAAAGAAGGGGCCGAGGCATCTGTCCTTTTAACGACAGCCACACTCACCTCCACGTCAGGGCTTGCTCTGTCTGGGGCACACAGACTGCATGCCCAGACCCATTTCCTGAGCCCTGGCATGGAAACTGGCAGGGGATGCACCCCCCAGGATGTGCCTGGCGAGAGAATGGAGAAATAAGACTGGGGGCTTTAGAGATCTTTGCTTCAATTCAATCATGGTCAGAATGATGAAGAGGAGATATTTGCAAGGGGCTTACCTTCAATGACATGCCACTTGGAATTTTCCAGACTGAAAAGCTCGTCTTCTCTTTCTTGGTAGGCGTGAGCTGCCGGAGGAGTGTGTGGGATCTCCTCTCCTGAGAAAGTTTAAAGGACCCTCACCCTGAGCTGGGCCAGGGCAGCCCTGCTGGTGCGTGGGGAAGGCTGAACGACCTCAGATTGTCTGATGTGGTTGATCCCCAGAGACAGGTGATTGGAGCTGGTGTTTTCTTTATCTTCCCTACCATGATATCTTGGCCTTGGCATTCCAGTCAGAAAATCCTCTGGCTGGTGACCAGATGCCTCTGAGAAACTCAGAGTTTAGGCGGACATGAAATCGCACCATCCTGAGCCCCAGCGAAAGAATGCTAAACTCAGAATTCACACACACAGGAGTCTGCCAACAGAGGCATCGAGCGGGTTTCCTGGGCTCAGATGCTCATGTGCAGCCATACCAGGGACAGGGCTCAAGGAGACACACACACTCTCACAGTGAAAAACACAGGCAAAGAGCTCAAGGCCACTGTCCAGTGTCCAGCTCATGTCACCACAGACAGGCCGGCCAGACCCGCTCAGCTCCAGTTTCCTAGATGCTGTCAGCGTCAGGATTGCAACAGAATCCCTAGAACAGATGATGCGCCAGGGTGACGCCTGCAGGGACCAGGGCAGAACTGCCCACCACCTGGCAGCTCCGCTCGGTGACCTCTCCTGCCTCCTACAAAACCTGAGCCATCTGTGGCACAGACCTCACCCTGGACTCACCCTGAAGCACCAGTCCACACAGCTGGCACCTGAGAGGGTCTGTGTGAGTGTCCACTCTAGGAATTCTCAGATGGCCATGGTCTCCACCTCTGGGAGTCATTATGAACTCTGTCCCATCTCCTTTCTTCTCGAGTCAAGAAGCACCAGCAAGCGATGCTTCCGCTGAGTATTTGATTGGCAGGTACAAAGGACAGTATCGCGCTTTCTATCTGACCTCAAATAAGATTAAAGCATTGAAACCCTAAGGAGCAAAGAGCCCAGCCACCATGGCAAGAATGCTCAGACCCTGTCCAGTTGGACACTTAAACTTCCCAGAGTTTGCAAATGCACAAAACTCTCCGACCCTCTTGGCCTCTTCAGTGCAAATACTCAGGAAACAGTTATTTACATATAAGCAACGCCCAGCACTCCGATACCCCACCCTCCCTGTCTTCGCCAGCAGAGTCCCTCCTTGGGAGAACTTGCTGCCAATTCAGAAAATCAGCACCAACAGCCCCGCCTGCCTCTAAAAGCCTTCCACACTCAGGAGGCGCTTGCGAAGGTTGATGCTAAAGCAACTCATTGATAGATGTAAATACGGACTCACAACTGTGTCAGGAAAACAGGGCAAGACAACGGGTTTCAATACTCACTTTGACGAATCTATGAAGTATATGACAAGTGCACCAATGCTGAGAGCAAAGACTAACACAACCTGCAAAACAAGAGAGAAATGCGTAACTTAAGGGCGGAATGACACTGGGATTTTATTTTTTAATTTTGTGACACATGGAGCCGCAGCTCGGAAATTTGGGGTCTTCCTGGAAACCTATCCCTTTGCTCCCCTTATGTTGGCTCCCTACCAGGCAGTGGGCAGCAACCTCACTGCTGGCCAACAGGGGTCAGGGCAGACTCTAATATCCTAACGCTCGGGGTTTGTATCTGGCTCCGTAATCTCAGGGTGAATCTTCTCCGCCACCAAAGTGAAGACACACACTTCGGTGGGAAAAGAGCAGGTGAACGTTTGGGGTGATACAATGCTTCATATTATATGCAAGTTAGGCCCCAAGAGAACTTAAATACAGGAATATCAATTTTTAGCCGCTTTAATGAGGTGGAATTTACATACTACCATAAAATTCACCCATTTTAAATGTACAATTCAGTCAATGACTTTGAATACTTATACCAAGTTCTGCAACCATCACCATAGTCTCACTAAGATGCCTCTTGCCTGTTAATCCTCCTTTGCAAGCCAAGCCCTGGATAACCATGAATTTACTTTCTGTTTCTGTCCAAGAAATACCAATTGGAAAACAGAAAGTTGGACTTGACTTAGGGTGGCGAACACACAATACAATATACAGATGATGTATTACAGAACTGTACACTTGAAACCCATATAATTCCACGAACCAATGTCACCCCAATAAATGCAATACGCAATTTTTTAAAAAGGTCCAATTATTTCTAGGACCACACACGTCTTCTCTTTCCCACTCATTCCTAGAAGCCAGGAACGTCTAGCTACAGCTTTGTCTTTTCAGAACCTGACAGTTCATCTGGGCAAAGTAGTCAATCCCTTTAGGTAGAGATGATCCTATAATGTTGCCCTCAAGTTGTACTTATTTCAATAAACTCATAATAAAACGCGGGAGGGGCACAAACTCGCTGCTTGTACAGCTATCCATGGGGGAGGGAGTGGGGGGACAGGTCTAGGTATTTTGGAAGCCGTTTAAGGTCATACATGAGGCCGGCTACAAGACAATCCTTGTTCTCCTCCACATGCTTCACTCAAAGGTAATCAATCACCTTTGATAGAAAAGACAGTGCAGCATCCCCTTCCGAGGACACCTGTCACACCAAAGTCTATCAAATGAATATGTAGCAGGTCGGGCTGACACGGACGCCTCTCTGCTCACTCCACATTCTCATTTGTTCATTTGATTTTTCACGGAGGAGAGTCCTGGTCTAACCAGAAGGATGTTCAAAGATAAAACAGGCGCTAAGAGCCAATGATTAATCTTGAGAACAAAAAGTAACCCCCACCATCACATAAGATGCCAGGGGCAACAGCTCCCTTTCAGATCTGCTAATCTCCTACGGAAACTGCAGGGGGAGAAGGGTGGAAGGGGTTAGAAGTGTCAGTCTCCTTGGAACATCTATGAACATCCCTCTGGCATTGGCTGGTGCATAGAGATAAAACCCAGTTTATGTAAAGACTAGGTAAGAATCAAGCCGTGTGTGTGTGTGTGTGAGAGAGAGAGAGAGAGAGAGAGAGAGAGAGAGAGAGAGAGAGAGAGAATATCGCTCACACATTTCTGTACTTGTGTGTGCACCACAGTGGCTGACAGAAATGAAATCTGCATATTCATTTAGAATACTGCAAAACTCCATGGAGCTACAGGGAGGGAGGGTGAGCTCCATATTTAAAAGCTGATGGTTAAAACAACTGGACCCTGTAAAGGGACTATGTGGTTCCACAGCACCTGATAAATTCTCCTCATGAGAGGAAGTGTTAAGACACCACCGGGGCCTATTTTATTTTTCCATTTTGTTTTAAAAACGAAAACATGTCCCAGTTGATCCAAGGAAACTCCGGCAGTCTGTCAGTAATTACCATGGAGCCAGCGCAAACACCCTGGCAGCCGCCTGAGCCGCTCCCCTCTCACTCACTCACTCACTCACTCACTCCTTGCAAAGTTATGCACAGGAACAAAACAAAAACCATGAACAACCCTCTGCTTTCCCCTCTATGAGCTGAATGAGGTAGCAAAACAAATAGCTGAAGATTAATTCTGACCTGTGCTGCTTTTTCTGAGACACAAGCCGTTAGATCCTGGCTCTGACCTCATTCTCAGAATGCCTCAAAGAGAAGGGGCGTGGCCAGCACAGAGGGGCAGGATCTCTGCTTCATTCATGAACAGCTGATTCAAGGCTCACCCCTGTCAGTCTGGCTGCACGTGTGTGTGTGTGTGTGCGCGCGTGTGTGTGTGTGTGTGTGTGCCTCTGTGTGTGAATGCTGAGCTTTGGCCGAGCTGGGGTCACGGGCTCATTCCATTAAAATCTGGAGAAGAAAGAAGAAGAAAGGCAAGGTGGGGCAGGGGAGGACGGAAGAGGAGAGGAGGAGAAACAGGAAAGGGGAAAGAATAGGAAAGAAGTCCTTGCAGAAGGCATCCGCATCATTCTGAAATGAGCTCAGCATCGCTCTCCTGCAATGGCGATGATTCCCCAGGCTTGAGTGGTCAAACTAGCTGACACTACTTTCTCCCAGCTCCCCTCGACTGGCCTCTGCTGTGGGAAATAATGTGCAGCTCATTTGAGCAAATCAGCCAGTGACAGGAGGGAAGGACTTCTACTCTCCTCTTAAGATGCAAACTCACATATCAGCCTCTCCCTGATGAGGCAAGAAGGGAAGAAGTCCAGGAGGCACGCGGCCTCCAAGTCTCCAGGGACTGAGGCTGCTACCTGCGCTCAGCTCCTAAAGCTTAGCTGGAAGGCTCCCTCTCCAGGAGGTCCCAGTTCCCACCCACCCCCTGCCCCCGGGCATGAAACCATAGATGGACAGAGCGTCTGTTCTCCGTACTGAAACAACTGTGCGTGTGATTATTTTGGTTTGTTTGTGAATCCTCACCTGAGGATATTTTCCCATTGATTTTTAGAGAGAATGGAAGAGAGGGGGGAGCGGAAGAGAGAGAGAAACATGGAAAAGAGAGAGACACATCAATGGGTTGCCTTCCACATGTGCTCCAACCAGGGATCAAACCCGTGACATTTTGGCGTACGGAATGATGCTCCAACCAACTGAGCCAGAGGGTGTGCATGAGATTTTTAAACTTGATAAATGCCTCTTGATCATGTCAGGCGTGATCACATTGTCAGCCTGGATCCAAGTGCTGCAGAAAATACATTAACCCTATGGATTTGGCCATGAAGACAGGAAACCAATAGAGATTCATCTTCTACAGGCCTAACAAAGGATCTCTCTCTCTCTCTCTCTCACACACACACACACACACACACACACACACGCACACGCACACGCACACATATACACACACATTCTATCTCTTTGAAAAATCCTCCATTGGCTGAGCAGCCTACTCTAAATATAAAAAAATCTATTTCACCACACAACATAATTCTATTTTAGCCTAAATGGTAATAGTTATGGCATAGTGCACCCCCAAATAATCACCCAAGTATTTATTTCACATCTGCTATGCATAAAGCCTTAGGAAAAACAAAAGAAAAAGTCCACTTGGAGTCATAAAATATACTCCTTCTGCAGTACTCTTTACATAGATGAATCCTATGCTACATCTAGTCGGTGCTCAACCATCTGATCAATACATATGCTACTGATTTGCTGGAACACACCTGAATGGAGAAGAACTGGGAGGGGTAGGAACAGGGCTCTGGTCTCAATACCCTCCTTGTTCTCAAAGTCTCCCTTCTTCCTACGTATCCTGTCTCCTCTCATGCGCCTTCAGTAAGAAGGATGGAGATGGGGAGTCTCTCTATGCACTTCCACAGTCCCAGGGGTAAGGGACACTGAAGCCTGCGACATAAGATGAGGCCATGAGAAGCACAAAAGCTGAGAGAGGAAGACACTCGCCCTCCAGCAGCTGAGTCACAGAATAAGCTTACAATGACCAGGTGCTTCCCAAAGCACCGTCAGCAAACAAGAGCTTGTGAACAGTCAGACCGAGGGGACAACGTGAGCGTGCTCTCTCAGCCCCCGGTGCCAGCCTTCCTCACCTCTCATAGTCCAGTTTCACCAAATCACCTTGGCTACCTGCATGGTGCTCACTGCCATATGCTTAGGTTTACTGGAAACTCCACATGCTCTGTGATGTTTGCAGAGTGTGAGATTCCTGTGTGAGATTCCTGAACACAAGAGATTGGATAGAGATGTCTTTACAACAATGGTGCTTGTGCGTAATCTATTTTCAAAACTCCAAGACCAAACATAGCCTGTGTTTGCACAGAATGCCAAGAAAACACACACACACGCACACACACACACGCACTGTACTAGAAGAATGCCTGTCCCTAACACCTGACACCAGCCACCTGAGAGAGAACGTTCACAGCCACCTTCATGCTGGAAATTCCAGCAGGCTCTGAAGATTTTCCAAATGTCTCAGAAAGTCCATAAAAGTGGAAAACAGCCAGAATATCCGCCCTCGGGGCACTGGAGCTCTTCAAGGAAGGACAGACCCAGTGATGAGAACAGGGAGGGGAGGGGATCAGGAACAGAGACTCTTCCGAGATGCTGCCCGTTCTAGAACCTGGTTTCAAGTGTCAGGTTTGGGCCCAAATGCTTTCAATCAACATATGAGGCTCCGTGGGCCTTCAGATGAGCATTTAAAGCCGAGGCTCACAGAGGCGACTGCGACCAGGTGTGTGATCACCTCGAGTGCTTTCCTTAAAAACAGAGACACCCTCCTCCATCCTGAGACCAGGAAATCTCGAACCTGAGGGTGGGGAGTGAGCTGGACATCTCTTATTTTTAACAAGCTCCTCCAGTGAAGCTGACGTGTGGCCAAGAATGGGAGTCACTGAATTAAAGCCATTAGGGGAAACCACTTAGCTCAAGTCAGAGATTAATTTACAAATGTCTCCTTAGCAATTAGCCCATCAGAACATATGCACGAGGCCTGCAGGCTTGGAGAATCGTGCTAGGAGTACTCTACAAAGTACAGAGAGGAA